GTAAACCATTCAATCATTCGCCAAGCCATAAGGTGCGATTATATGAATCAAACTGCATATTAAAGTCATACACGAAATTCGAAAACATAAATTCACCCTTTTTATCTATATTTGTGCTAGAATAATAACTTAAAAATTGACTCAAAATTGTGATCACTTTACATATATTGGAAAAGCGCACCAACCTAAACTGTAAGAGGACAATTATCTACTTTTCATAATCACAACATATACTAGATACAAAATTAAGGGGCACCGACAACATGAACACTGTGAATTTAATACATAAAATCGAAAAACAACAATTTCGATCCAAACAGTGCAAAACTCATGTACACAATTTGTGATCAAATATATATTTCTTTATTTATCATGTCCTTAATTTAAAATAATATATAATGTGTATTCAATTCATTGATCTTGATTTCTATGACAAAATCTTAGCCCTGATCTGGCTCTGATACCAATTGTTGGGTTTAAATAATAAACAACATGTAGAAATCAAAATTGATCATGAATTAAAGAGAGGTTTTGATATCATACCTGATTAGAAAATTAAACTTTAAATACTTTTGAGAATTCCTTATCGTCCTTTGAGAGATCTGAAAAAATAAAGTGCTTTACCCCCTTCTGAAAGTTGTCGATACGATAGGTCTGAATAAGGGTTTTAAAACCCTTATATATAACAACAACAGGGGGGACGGTTTCTCTACAAACAAGCATACCTAAGTCTCCCTTCATATCATGGAAACTTAGATATCAATGGTTAGAAATAAATCACACCAAATAAGTTGAAGAACCACAATCCAATGGTATAAAACCATACGCTCAATTAGACCACCAAATTGAAAAGTACAAACCCAATCCATCAAGTATCAATAATCATATTGCAATTCTACTTTAGAAAACGTAGTGCATAGGACCATAAAATAATTTTTATTATTTAAATATATATATATAAATTCCAACACATAAACCCTAATTACAAAATCAGAAAAGTGATAAATAAAATTTAATCACTCTCTCAATGTCCTTACTTATCACTTTCTTGATTTTGCAAGTGCAAACTACGTGTGCATTTATAATTGGACCACATCAGCGGTTAGTAGGGAGGTCTTACTCGCCGTTTACATTTGTGATTTGACCACATCAGCGGTTAGTAGGAATGTCCTACTTGTCGGTGAGTAGGCAAATCTTATCCTTTGTTTTTTATCCAACAGATCAAATTGAACAATTGCGATAATGTGGCATAACTTTTCTGAAAAATAAAAATAAAACTTAATAGAGTGATACCAGAAACATAGTTGCCACCTAAAAGACATTAGTCTATATGGTTTTTAAAAGAGATTGAGTGTTGGAATCCTATTAAAGGTAATTTTGCCTATTATATTTGTTAACTCGTCAATTTAATGCTCTCAAACATTACCGGTGTAATCATTGTCGAGTGGTCTTGGGTTAACCCTTGTAATCTTCTAGTATCTGGGCTGGTCTTGTTAGTTTGGACTAGACAATAAGGGTTTGACTGAAGGCTCCATTGCATAACGTTTTGACAACAATATTTAATCTTGCATTTTTTATGAATAAATCACCAATATTGATTTCTCCAAACTTATACATGAAGTTTAAAATAATACAATATTGATCCTTGTAATTTTAATGGAGAAATCGCCGATATTAATTTCTCCAACACTTGAAGTTTTTAAATATTATGATATTAAGTACCAAAAATTTATTTATATTAACTATTTGGGCTAAAAGAACAGGGCATATCTATATGGTATCAATGTTTGATTCTGTAATAAAAGTATATTAAGAAAAAGCCCAAAATATATATATATATAAAATTTCGTAAGAATAGACAATTTATTTAGACATATTTTATGTGTTTTGAATAACGTGGATAGTTAGTTCACCAAAAGCGAAAGTGAAAAGGAAATTGATAAGTATCATTTATTTATCATTATAATTTTTTGAAAAATCCATCATAGAAATGTATTGCACATTCAACCTTATCACACCATGGATAACTCATGCACTAGAGAAATAGTCCATGGATCAATGTCATATCAAGTTTTGTATCATTTTAAAAAGAAGGTTCATTTTGATATGGACTTTGATTCCATCCATTCAATTTTACAATTTAAATTCAATCGTACTGATCAAGTGGTCAAATACTTTCAAATCATGTACTCCACAAACCTCCTTCCAATCTACAAGATAAAATTAAGTTTGAACTATATAAATTTTTGATGATATACATTATGAAATATATATATATATATATATATATATATATATATATAGTTAAATGAAAAATGCAACCATTTGTGGCATTAGAGAGGATATACACTATTGACACACTGATTTTTCATCTTCTCCACATAAAACACAAAAAGCTTGATCAACTAATTTTTCTTGTCTTTAAGTTCAGCAAGACTGGAAGTCTTTTATGGCTACACAGCCAAAGTGTCAAAGAAAGAATTTAGTTTTCCTTAAAGTAAGAATTTTCCAAATTTGTCTCAAAATACTTTCTCTATTCGGTTGATAGCTTGAACAAGCTTGACAGTTGCCAATCCGACACAACATATCTTTTTCATGCCTACAAACATGAAAGGCTCCCTATATGTAGACTTTACTGTAAACCTTCGGTAATATTTCTAATTTTCAGAACATTTATTTTATTTTATTTTATTATTTTAATTGATTGGTTTGTTATACGACTTTGTGTGCATTAATAAATATGTGATTTACGTGTCTATGTGACTCTAATGGTGTACTATGTGGATTGTTATGCGTTTACTTGTTATTTGTTGAAGTAGATTACTTGTTAATTAATTGTTTAATTATTAATTTAATTTATTTATTTAGTCATGGGTTGGATTTAAGTAGTTGGGGCTAAGGCTTGGACTTGGATTGATGGAGGAAAAGGCTTTAATACTTTAAGCCTAGTTATGATTATTATTTAAGGCCTAATGGTATATATATGTGTGTGTGTGTATGCTATGTATGTGTATATATCTATATTAGATATTTATTTATATGTATTATTTATATTTATTATTTGTATTTGTGTTGTGTGATGTCATGTAGGATTAGGGTTGTATGTAGGTATTATATATATATATATACATATATGTATATTATAGTTAAATGAGGGTTTTAGACGTGATAAACAGTGGAGAGAAGAGAGAGGCGATGGTTGGTTTGAGAAAGAAAGAGAAATCGTAGGAGTTAAGGAAGAAGAAGAAGGCTAGAGGAAGAAAGAAGAGGAGGGAGGTCGAACCCAAGAAAGAGGCGGCTAACCGAACCAAAAAGAAGAGACGACGATAACCCGAAGGCTACCGATGGTAGAGAAGAATGCCGGAGAAGAAGGAGGTTGGTTTTTGATCCAAAAACTGTAAAGTAAGTCCTTCGTTCTACTCTTTTCCTTTGATCTCATGTTCTATGCATCTCTAGAATAGCTTTAGGGTTTTAAAACAGAGATAATGACCCTATTTTCATGCTTTAACTCGAACTATTACAGATGTATATATGCATATATATATGTATGTATATATAAATTTAATTTTGTGAATTCATGTTTAGATCTTTGTTTACTTGCTCTAATCATGCATAAGTACTTAGTGTGGACTATTGGGAACGTATTGGACATAGATTACAGGCCTTGGACCCTTAACAGAGGAGAACGAGGTGAATTACAGTGGCTGGAGATGAAGAAGATGATCGACAGCAGCAACGAGTCGGCTCAGTTGTTGAAGAAGTCGACTCGTTTGGGAACGAGTTAGCTCATTTAGAGAATAACCGACTTAATTGGGCTGAGACTGGGGTTTTGTGTTTCGTAATTCCTGATGATGTTGTAGTTCGTTTTAATCGATTTAACTGATTTATAAAGACTTGGTAAAATCCCAAAATGCATAATATACACCAATATGCTAAGATATGAGATGTAATGGACTTTAACTGACTTCTAAGTTATTTACATGATTAATATTACTTTAATTGTAATAACAATTGCAATAGATGTTAACGTGATTATAATCATGCTCTTTATAGTATTTTGTGATCTTATACATGATCCATTGTTGGTTGTTTTGTAGGGCTATTGTCAGGATATGGCTATGTTGTGTTGAGTATAAGTGGATTTGTGGTGTGTCGCTCGAACCGAGTTACACTATAAAGTGTAATGTGGCCAAGTTTGAATTTATAGAATGCCATTACCACTAATAACTATTAAAGTAGTTAGAGTGAGTAAGGATCGTCCCAAGGGAAAGGAGTCGTGTTTTGGAATTAATTATTGGATTAGTAGGTCGAATGATCAAAAAATGGTTTGATTAGATTAAATTAAGATTCAATTAAAACAATGTAAGAGAGCAACATCTAGAAATTAGAGGGAAAATAAATGAGAGAGGGGTCTTAGGGCTTAAAGTTCACCACTAAGTTTTACTTCACCAAACACTAACAATTGTAAATTAATGGGGAAATTCAAGTTGTAAAATGGGTGTGTGTGTCACTAATTGAAAACTAAGCATGGATGATAAATAAGTATAGATTGTTTAGTCAATCTAATGAATAATACAACCTATCAAATGAGACTAATAACCATTCAATTAAAATACAAATAGAACACACACAAAAATCTAGAGAAATGTACTCTTTGCACTCATGAGTATGGAACATCAAGTAACAAGAATAGATTGTCTACCTATCTAAGAAATTAAAGCAATTACACTACATCTGGGCTAAAGACATGAAAATTAAACTAATTAAACTAAAGGTGTAGCACAATCCATCAAGAAACAAGTGTGAACCATCAAATAAACCATAAGAGTATTCAATTAAGCACTATGCTTTGACCATCACTAGATTAACAACATCAATACACATAGACATGCATTAATTTCATTAAATCTAGAGTAAAACACATGAACATTTATTCTAGCATACATAGACATATGGATAGAAATAAATGATCAATTGAAAGCATTAATCCATACAAATCAAGTAAAAATCATAAGATCTATATTTATTCAAGGTCAAAACATTTATTACAACTAAAATCCTCAAAAATGTACAAAAGACTAGGTCTAGGAAGAAAACTTAGGGGCTATCTCTAGCCCCAAGTAAAGGATTTAGCCACTCATTGTAGTGGTTATGGAACCCTCAAGGGCTAGCTTGGAGGTTGGTATCATCATCTTCATCCTTGCTTTTCTTCTCAAAACCCTAATTCTAGAGAGGAAACTATTTCTATATTGATAAAAAATCTGTCTCTATCAATGATACAAGATAATGTTCAATTAATTCATTACATGCCTCTTTGGGTAGGCACCAAGTCAGAAATATAGCCTATGATTGGAGGAAATTTGCAATTACTCGAGTTAAGATTGGCGCGCTGAGGAATTAGACAGCATACTACCAGCAAGCAGTTCGATTGATCGAAGATCTTTGATCGATCGAAGATGATGTGGCATCAAAATATCTTTTGGGTCTTTTCCACTTTGCTGAGCTAGCACCGGCTCGACTTTGATCAATTGGGATTCCCTTCGATCGATCGAAGTTCCTCTGGTGCAATTTTCTTGGCTTCATTCCAATTTTGCTTGTTAGCTCCAAAATTGGGCTAAATGGCTCTTGTTAGCCTGTTTGAACTTTATTAACCTGAAATAGGCAATAACACAAATAAGTACTTAAGATATGAAATTAAGATAGATGAATGGACTAAAATACCTTAGCTTAGGTGCTAAAATGCATTACATTTGAGCACTTATCGCACCCCCAAACTTAGATATTGCTAGTCCATAGCAATGAACTACAAGAAAAAGAAAGAAATAAACAACTAAGTAGCTATGAACTATAAAGTAATGAAATAATAACGCCACTTTCGTAGGGAACATGATTACATTTAGCGTATGCAACAAGCCTTTTAAACCCTTAGGTTACCCCTAGTGGACGAGTGAAGTCTCGTGAGGGTTTCCAGAAATGATACCCACAAACATTGAGCTTTTTCCACAAGAGAGAAACCAATATACAAAACAAGCATTGGGAAATATAATACCCCTGATTTCAAAAGGATAGTCCTGGTATTTATTAAATTGTTTAAATTGCATTTATTTTTATTTAATTGTTTTTTTGTTTTTTTTATTTATTTAACTGGCCTTTTGTTTTTATTTGTTTTAATTGTTGACGCGCTCATGTGTTAGTTGTAATTGTTTTCATTGTGGTGATTTAATGGTCTTTAATTATTTACTTATTTTAATTGAATTGATTTAATTATAGATAATTATTTAACTGATGTAATTTAGTTGTTTTAATTGAATTAAGTTAATTAAATTTAATTGTTTTTAACGTGACTGTATGGAGGCACACATATAGTTATATTAGGGTTTTATTTACACGGATGTAGCCGACTTAGGGTTGGTTTTGTATTAGAATTAGGGTTGTGTTAAAGCCTATAAATACAGTATTATACGTTGGTTTAGAGTTATAAAACAAAACCCTATTCACTGATACTTTTATCGTGAGATAGAGAGATACAGAGAGTGGAAACTAGGACGTTATCGGAGAAGTTCAAGGATACATTGGATGGAGTGCTTCTGGGTTGAACCAAGAGCACCTGAGGTGTAGAACAAGAGTCTCAGACGTGGACAGAACTTTAGAGACAGTGGATTATAGTTTCAAAATCTGAAACTACAGGCAAGTCACTATTTTATTCTTTCCCTTTAATTCGTGTTTTGTGCATGCCTAGTGGACTCTAGGAATTAATTTAGCACTAAAACAAATTAAGTTGAAGTAATATTAATCTTAGAAGCATGTTGAATCGACTGTTAAGTCATTGCATAATTTTGTTGTGTGTAGGACGTTGCTTTGTTTAAAAATAAACTATTTGCGTGAGTTTTAATTTTGCTTAACCTTATGTATTTGGGATTGAATGCATGATTTTAATGGATTCTAGGACTGCAATTGAACTCCTAAATAAGCTATAAAAATTGTACAGAGTTTCTGCACTTTGTCAGAGGCGAAGAAGATGCACAGAATAGGGGATACGGCTCTTAACGGAGGAGAGACGGCTCCACAAAGGGGTAGAGCTGGCTCCACAAGGGTAGAGCCGGCTCCAATAAAGGGTGGAGCCGGCTCCACCAAGGGGAAACGCGGCTCCACTTTTGGTGGAGGCGGCTCCTCTTTTATTTTTTTGATTTTTCATGTTTCTGACTTCCGGTTGGCCTGTAGGAGGGTTTCTGAGTTTCTTTAGGGGCTGTGGATGGTTTATAAAACTGTTCTAGAGTTTTAAAAGGATTGGAAAGCATGTTTGTATTAATTTTAAAGCATGAAATAACCTACAGTTAATTAATACACTGCATGTGGAAGTTATACATTGACATTGCTTGCTGTTCCTATAAAGCACTTTGGTTTCTAGCATAATTTTAAACTGTTGTTCATGGTTCAACTGTTGTATAAGCATATATTACATATTCTGGAAAAATATATAGGTATGCTTAAATGGAAATTAATTGATGTTTAACTATACTATTTATTGCATCAAGTTATGGTACTATTTTAGAGGAGTTAGTTGCTGTATTTTACTCTAACATTTTAAAGGACTAGAATATGACTTCTAGATCATATAATGGATATATATTTGAATCATACACAGATTAGATTGGTTGTATGTTGGTTCTGGAGTATAGTTAATAAATGTATATGGTGCTATTTTTGTTAACTGTGTTGGATGGAGGATTGTATGTACCGGTATGGGACGGTGGCGTACTGGGTATGGACTGTTTTCAAACACTGTGTTCTACCTAATTTGGATTTAATGATGGATTAACCAAAAAGGTCAAGTTCATCTCATATTTGTATCATATCAATAAAACGATTGAATGACCTGTGGTGGTTTTAGGATGGATTGGTGATACATATATCAAACCACAATACAGATGGTTGATATTTTGTATTAAGAGTACAAGGATTTATATATTTACTATATGGTACCATGGTATGAGCTTAAGTCTCAGGACCATGGTTAGAGCGCGTATATCGCCGAGGATGGATAACTGGACATAGGTGTTGTTCCCTGGTAGGTCTAGGTACACATGACCACATTATTGTGCGATTTGCATGGTATCTCTACTTAGGCTGAGACAGACTTACTGGACTAGTGAACGTCCTATAGTGTGTACTATATATATACATATGGACTACTCTAGATATTGTTGAGTCTTCCTAATATGTATCTGCGTATTGGATTACTGTTTGGATCGTAGTAGAATAGGACTTGCATGTGGGCCTGACCCACTCTCTTATTTTTCAGATGTTCGTCAGTTCCAGGGTTAGAGCTTGGACGTGCAGAGCAGATACAGACATTCATTCCTCCGATTACGTAGGAATCTTTTCTATGTTTACCTTAAGTTTCTATTTCAGTTATTTTAGTTTCAATTGGGATTTTTAATAATAAGGGGTCCACTAGATGAATTCTCAAGTTGTAACTTATGGAGTTTTGGAGTTTGGCTTTAATAGATTTCATAAATTATATTTTGAGGATTTCAATTAGTATCCTTCCAGCTTATTGTTATTTTTTATTTCATCTTGTATTCCGTGTTCGGTTATATATTAATTGTTTGATATTTCCCTCGAGTTTGGGCCTGGGCCTGATCAACCCGTGTCTCGGATCCGAGGGGTATCACAAAAATTACCTCAAGTATGTAATTTTTTAACCATTTCCAAGTAATCTCCCAAAATCTCAACATCAAGTAAGCAAGTATGGTCCTTCACACATCAAGATAATGATCATGCAAATCAAAATAACTCTAGAATTCTTTTAAGTGAACTGGTATTAAATATATTACTATCTAAGCCAATCAAATAAATGATCACATCTGGCCTCAAACTAGCACACAAATCTAGTTTTGATCATCAAAACAAAGAATGAACATTTTTATTAAAGCTTTATTCAACTAGGTGCGCTTATTCTTTTCACTCGATTTTTTTTTTTTTTTACTAACCTAAAGGATCAAAGATTGAAGCATGGTGCAATGTGTTAATCTATTAAGTTTTCTAGCGATCTATGAGATCGAGCGTTAGGTCAATGACTCCCAAACCGGACGGCTTTAGGACATTAAGCGTTTAAACACCCCTAAGGACTTACAAGCTCAAATCAACTAGGTTACAAATCAAAACCACCTCCATCTAATCATTTCTCACTTCTCACCTTTTGGGAGAAGTCCTCACTTTTTTTTATTTGCTTTTTGCAAACTTTTTTTTTTTTTTTTTTTTAACCTAAAGTTTGGACCCTTCACCTTTCGACGCGAGAAATTCAGTGCTTGATGAGACTAGAATCCCGGTTATTCAATTAAAAGGGACTGTTATCCACTTTTGTCAATATGAAAGCTTTCAATGCATTACTAGCTCAATTGGGATATAACTAAATCAATAATCAACAAAGCGTATACCCCATAAATGAATGTTAGTGTGCGCCTGTGCTAGTATAGAATCCTACAATAAATCTCAAAACAATCACAAGATCAAGATGATGTGCATCACAAATGTAAGCAAGATATCAATCTTTCGAAAAATTTACTCCTAAATAGCATCCATAAAGCATACAAAGAGTATTGGACTCTTAAGTCAAACAATTTTTAAATTCTAAGTATCATGATCCTCAAAAGATCAAAATCATAACCCAGGACTCTCAAATCATACCACACGCATAAAAATCAAGTGCGACATGTAAAATATGCTAACACACCCCCAAACTTAATCTGTGCATTGTCTTCAATGTGCAAAGAAGCAACAGATAATGGAAAGAGTGTACCAAATGGGTGAAACAAAAGGACCCGGCAGCGGAAGCTTAGCTTTGGAAGGCGCACTCCCAAACTTAGATTTCGAAAACCTGTCTGAAAATGGTCACACTAACAACTGTCAAAACATATGCATCAATGATAAAAATGAGAGGTGAAACTGAAAACTGGGCAAAAATCATGGCATCTAGCAATGTAAAGCTTAGAATATCCAAAACTGATATCAAAATCCCAAAAATCTATATATAGCAAATAAATCCAAAATCAGATATTCATAAATCAATGTAGCAGTGTAATGCAAGAAATAATATCCAAAATATCTAAAAATATCCAAAACCAGTGCAAGTGTCAAAATAGTGCAATAATATCTCAGTAACAGTAGTGTATCAGAATAAATAATAAGTAGGAGAGAGAGAAAGTGGTGGAATCATGGAATGGGATCTAGAGTCATGATGTCAGCAATGTGCTGGAGCATGGCAGACATCTTAGTGTTGTGACGAGTGAGAGAAGCTGTAAGGTCAATCTGCAGTGCTCCAAGCACACCTCTCACTGTAGCTACGTCTGCTCTCAAGTCATCGAGCCTCCTCAACAACTCATCATGTCTCCACACCAGATCGTCATGCCTCTTCGTGACATCCTCATACCACCCAGTCATATTAGCTCTGAAGGAAATGAATTCTGTGTGCAGCTGAGTGACCTCTGATCTGTAACCATAATCAGTTTTGGCATATTGGGAACGAGTGTCGATCTGTGCTATCGGCTCTATGAAAGGGACGAGAAAAGGGTCAGTTTGCTGAGATGAAGTAGAGACATCTGGCTGTGTGCTAGAGGTTGTAGTGGTAATGCGACGTCTCTGTCTGGGAAGAGATCTATTTACGGCATCCTCTGCAGCGTCGTCCGCTGCAGCTGCCTCCTCTGTTGCTCTCTGCTGCTTCGCCTGCAGTCTCTTCATATCCCTATTCGCCCTGTTCTTACGGTAGGAGTTGTAAGTCTTCGTCCACCTTACCTGATCATATGCTCTCATCTCTCTCTCTCTGCATCAAGCTCTGGAATCTCCTAGGGGTCAAACTGATAACCCTGATCTAGTAGCAGCTGAGTAATCAAGTAGCCAAAAGGTAAGGGCAAAGTCGCTATTCTAGTACTGTGTATGTGATGCAGATTTTTCCAGAACTTGTGTATGAGCTCCCAAATCAATGCTGGGACAGAGATCCAATAACCCTGGCTCAAACAATATAGAGCCTGAAAGATCCTCTCTCGCTGTTGAGTGCCATGGCCTGATGGAAATGCATTGAGGTGCAACACGGAGTCAAAGAACCAATACTGGGGATCAATCTCAACTTGGTCTACAAAGGTGTGGCCCTAAAAAACAGCATGTGGATATAATGTAGCTACCATGGGTCAGCTAAGAAAAAGGTGGAGCTGTATGATACAATGGATCCTGAGAATCATCAGCCAATGGAGAAGTATAGGGCATCGACAAGCAGCAGCTATGGCCAGGATAGAAATATCGATCTCCTGGCAGTCAATAGTGGAAAGTAGAAGAAGTCTGTCATCCTCATCCATCCTGAGGTGCTGGTAGAACAGTGCAACCAATCAGGGATAGACAACTGTGTCTGCTGGTGTCATAATGGCATCAATGCCCCTCCGAACGAGCTCATCATAAGACCACCTGGTCTGGTCCAAGGCAGAGAATAGATCTCTATCAAATTTATACTCGGTCTCCCGCTTCTTACTAGCATAAGACTCAGCAAGGACCTCTCGAATAATAGCATGGTCGGCTTCCATAGATGATGGCTCTGAATGTACTGTTGTGGATGCAGAAGATGAAGAAGAATCTGCCACTAAAGATGAATGAGCTCTCTGTACTCTTTTTCTAGCAAGAGTCTTTCGTCTACGCTACATCTGCAAAAGCAACAAGTATAAATCAGTGCACAGGTATAGGATAAGGTAAACAACTGATAAGAAAACACAAAGCATGCCTGAATCAAGTAGAAACAGAGAATAAATAAATAGGATCATGCTTGTGCAAGAAATGATTAAGAAGGTTCAGAATTAGCATTCAACATGCCTCAGCTAGGCAGGATAGATCAAAGCACAATAAACAATGTCAAATAAGCAGTGATGGCATAGAGGGCAGAAAAGTCACATATGGAACATTTTAAGCAAAAATATGATCAACAGGACAAGTATAGGCTGTGATGTACATAAATGATGCAATGTGCATTCACAAACCTAAAACTCAAGTAGATGCTGTAATGACATGACAAGTAGACTCTAGGATAACATCGTATCAATTCCTAGCAAGAATGTCTACAAGTGCAACAGTTAAGATCAAATGGAGCAAACATGATAACATGGAGCATATAATCATGGCAAATGTCAACCTAGGACTCAAGAAGCAGGCATGTCATGTAATAAAGATTAAGTGGAATGCATGGTTGCAAAACACTACAATCAAAGCATGTTATGACAAACAAGATCAATAAAGAATCCTGGACATGGTATGCAATTAGATGGCATATATCTGAATGCTGCATAAATAACAACAACTCCAGACAAAGAAATATCATGTACTGAAATGCAATAAAATCAAAGTCCTATGATCACTCATGGCTCATGACTCCCTCTAAGGCTTAAATGAAACAGAAAATGGTCAACAACTAGATATACAAGAAGTTTACCATCTCAGAGTCAAAATCTGGACCGGAAAGAACCTCAGTCATAAGCCCTTACTTGGCTTTCAAGAATGGATCACAAGTACATGATATCAAAACAATGGCATGCAAATAGACAATTTTCAAAACAAAGCAAACATAGCCTCAGAGTCAAGTCAAATTTCATTTCAAAATTCTATTGAAGCTCAAGAAGTGATACTAAGGCCAAAGAACATAAACCACATCCAAATCATGAATTTCAAACTCCAAAAATCTACCACACACCCCAAAACTTAGTCAAAAAATCAATTCCAAAAAGTTAAGTCCAAAATATGCACTGAAGCTCTCAAAATTGTCAATGTGACATAAGTGTGTGCAAAATAGTGTATATACAAGCAACAAGTTACAATTTTTCCCAAAATGCACACAATTATTCAAAGAAGAACACATTTGACAAGTTTCAAGGTCAAGAAGCAACAAAGGAATCATATGACTTCAAACAGTTTGGTTTACAATGGCAATTCAATACATTTGTCAGACAAGTTCAAAATCATGATAAAGAAGGTTAAAAGACATCAAACTGGTGCCCTAGTATGGCAAATCAAGAATTTATCACCAACAAGTTCAAAAGCACTTAGAGTATGCAATTGGATGGAAATCAATCAAATGGAACAACTTCATCTCAAATAAGGGTATTTTGGTCAACTTTGGAATTTCTCAACACTTTTGGGACAAAATTGGAGTTTTTGAAAACTTTAGAGTCGAAACATTCAATTGCATTGAATAAAAACATCATGACAAGAATCATGCAAAGAATGATCATCAAAAGAAGGAATTATGCAACTCAACTTCTCATTTTGAAAACAAAGTTAAAAAATTTCCTTTTTAATCATTTGAGACCCAACAAGTGTGATCACAAAGCATTTTATCATTAAAAATATCATTTTACCAAAACAATGCACTTGAATTATGAGCAAAAGTCCATTGAAGATTAGAACTTTTCAAAAAAGTCCATTTAAAGCACTTTTGAGCATTTAAGACAAGACTTTGTAATTTCTGGTTCAAAAGTACAATTTCAAGACAAGTCATGCTTTCAATCAATTAAGACAATTTAAGATACATCCATGCATTTCATATTTAAGACAAGCAAATGAAACAAGACGGGACTATGCTCACAACATTTCAATTCTTCATTGCCATTTCAAGTTCAAAGAATATATATATATATATATATATATATATATATATTAGTCTCGAGACAAAAATTTCATTTTGACATTCAAATTTACAATTCAAATCAACAAACATTTTTTAAAATTCATGAAATTTCCGAAATATAAATTCAATCAAGAATCACACATTTCATTTTCAACTTGAGATTTCAAAACTATTTTTCAAAGACTTGAAGATTTTCCTTTTAAAATTCAATTCATCCTTTTAACTTTTAAAAACTCTTTTCAAATTCCATCTCAATTCATAAAACAAGACCATATGCCTTTTAGAAAATATTAAAGTTCTACTCTAAATTTTCGAAAATCTGGCATAGTTTCTCCTTCAAAATGGACATCCAAAAATTTCAAAACACAACAAAAATCACAATCAACAATAAATTTCAATATTCAATAATCAACTAACACAGTCCACAATATCAATCCATAATTAAGCCCGTCCTCCTTTCGATCAACCAATTAGCAACACAAAAAGGGACACAGCCCACAGGTCAAACCAAATCAAAGCCCTTACTTCTTCAATTCGAAACACACTGTCTAATCTCCATAACACAATGTCACAGTCCCAACAATCAATATCCAACTCCCAATTTCAGTCCAAATAAATATTTTTAATTTTCTGATTTCAAATTTTTTTTTTTTTTTTTTATTTTTCAATTGCAGTTTTCATGATTGAACACACATATATACAAACATATATTCATAGAAAAATAAAACTAAAATTGAAAAAAAAGAGTAAAAAGTAAAAATAAAAGAAAAATTAAAATCAAAATAAGAATGCTCACATACCCAAAGAGAACAAGAGATGGAACGAAGAGAGAGACTTTGGGATTTTTTGGAAATTTTTCCGGCCAACCGTGGCTGGAAGTGGTGATCGGTGCTTTGCCGGAATCTGCAGAAGCTTGTTGGCAATGAGATGAAATCTCCTTGGCCTAAATCGGCCAGAGATTGAGACAGTAGAGAGAATACCGAGAGATTGGAGAGAGAAAGAGCTTGGCCGTAGGCCAAAAGCTCTTGCCGAAAATGATGGAGGTTCGGCGGCGGCTCGGTTTGCTTGGGGTTTCTCGCCGGAGTGAAGAAGAAGGTGAGGGAGATGGTGTGGTGGCGGGTTTTGTGAGGTTGAGGGAGAGTGATTGAGAGATGAGATGGGGAAGATGGAATCGGGAGAGGGAGAAGAGAGTTGGGCCGAGAGAGAGAGAATGCGAAGAGAATGGGAGGGAGGAGAAAGAGAAGAAAGAAAAAAGAAAAAGAAAAGAAAAATAGGAAGGAGGGAAGGAAAAGAAAAAAGAAAAAGAAAAGAAAAAATAAAAAAAAAAATTAAGGTGCAGAAAGTTGAACGGCCAAAGATATTCAAATGACGCTTTTTCGATCGATCGAAGGATTTTGATCGATTGAACTCTTAGTTTTGATCGATCGAAATGAACTTTGATCGATTGGAATGAACTTTGATCAATCGAAATGGAATGTGAAAAGTCCTCAATCCAGTGGGTTCGATCAATTGAAGTGGAATTTCGATCAATCGAATTGGAGTTCGATCAATCGAAACCTCACTGGAAGTGCACTAAATGCAAGAATTTTTTCCGAAACTGGATTTTTCAATTCAACTCATATCTAGACGATGTAGAAAATATAAAAACCAGAAATGAGGGAGGAATAGGGTTGGCAAACTTTACGAAACACACTAGTCTTTAACGTCTCTAGTAAGACGTTGGACTCTTTTAGCCCGAATAAAAAATCTTAAAATGCATCCCCTCCTTTGCGGGGTGAATGGTCTTTTGAATCCCACCCAACAAACCATTCCCGAAGGAACTTGTTGGATTTGATTCAAATGAAATTAATGGTCTTTTGTCAACTAAACTCTTGGGCTTTCATGCCCTTTCAACACTTGGTTTGAAAACAACATCTTTTGAAATCATTTTGGAAGATAAACCTTTTGAAATTTCATTGCTAAGCAAAAACTCATTTTTTTTTTCAAATTCACTTTCAAGACATTTTTCAACAACACATACATCTTCATGCTTATCAATTGAACTCGGGGTTAGATTAAAAATGTTCAACTTCACTTTCATGTGGCCAAATAATTTCATTATCCCCATCCTACAATTGATGTTAGCATTAGCGGTTGCCAAGAACGGACGACCAAGGATAACAGAAATTTGGCTCTTAGGATTTGGGACCAGTTCCGTGTTAATGATAACGAAATCAACTGGGAAGAGAACTTGTCAATTTTAATCAAAACATCCTTAATGATACCCCAGGGCTTTTTAATTGATCAGTTGGCCAGTTTCAAAACTACCGACGTCAGTTTCAAATCACCTAAGCCTAATTTAACATAAACCGAATAAGGGAGAAGATTCACACTTACTCTTAAATCCAAAAAGGCCCGATTAATAACATGGTCACCAATGGTGCAAGAAGTAGTAGGTGAACCGGGGTCTTTGAATTTTGGGAGGGTGTTGTGTTGCAAAATTGAGCTTACTTGCTTGGTTAAAACAACTTTCTTTGGTACTTGGCTTTTGTTTTTCCTCTTAAGAGTACAAAGATCTTTCAAAAATTTGGCATAAGCCGGGATTTGTCTAATTGCATTCAAGAGAGGAAGATTAATTTTCACTTGCCTAAACACATCAATGATCTCATTAGCCTTGTTTTGTTGCTTTTCAAGAGAAGTGGATGCTTTCAAAGCATCCGTAAATGGAGCTTTAGGCTCAAAAACTTTTTCAAAATCATTTTTGAAATTATTTTCAACAATAGACTCTTTCACATGCAATGAAGGAAGAATAAAATGTGAGACGGGACGGGTGTCAACTTTTGGTTGCATCGGTTCACTCTCTTCATTGGGAATACCAACTTGATTATTAACAATTTTTTCATTTCTCAAATTGGTCACCGCATTTACATGTTCAAATGTGTGACCTTCCGAAAAGGAATTGGTCTCCGCAACAAATTGTTGCTTTGGTGGTGGATTTAAATGCATTTTCCCTTTCTCTCTAGCATTCAATGTATTAGCTATTTGTCCGACTTGGGTTTCTAGCTTTGCAATTGATTGAGAATGAGAATGAAGAAATTTGGTATTTGCCTCCAAAGTACCTAAAGCGGTTAGAACTTTTTCTTCAAATGCGAGACTCCTTGAATTCCTTTGAGAATATGAAGATTGGTTTCGAAAATGAGAGTTAAAAAATTGGTTTCCATGTGATGCTTGATAAGATGAACGGTAACCTTGGGAACCTTGGCCTTGCATTAGGGTGGAACATACTTGCCTTGAAAACCACTTTGGGGAGGCTTGAGCCTTCCCCTTGGCTTTTTCAAGAGAAGTTTGGATGGTTCCTCCACCTGACATTATAATGAGTGCCATAGGGATTATTCCATTGGTTAACAAAAGTGGCATTTACTTGTTCATGGTGTTCACTTTGCACATGTCCATAAGGACAATTGGAAGTAGAATGTAAAACACTAGAACAAGTCATGCATGATTCATTAGATGGATGATGAACATGATTAATTAGGGGAGGAAGACACTTGATTCACCGAATTTTGGTTAATCAAAAATTGATCAAACCTTTGGGATAAAGACTTCACTTTGGCGGCTATAGCATTAGAATTATCGACTTGATATAAACCGTCATTCTTCTTTCTACCTAAATTTCTACCATTTTTAGATGACAAAGATTGATGTATTGAATTCTCACTCATGCTCTCATATAAGCGCCATACATCATCTTCATGCCTATCAAGATAAGAACCACCCATAGAAGCATCAACCATTCCTTTATAATTATTCGACAAACTTTCAAAGAAAAATTGAACCAATTGCCATTTAGGAATGTCATGGTGTGGACACTTCCTAAGCAAGTCGTTCAAACTCTCCCATGCCTCATGAAACAATTCCCCATCCCCTTGTGAGAATTCTCGAGTTAAAGTTCTCATTGCATTCGTCTTTGATATCGGATAGTACTTTTTCAACAAACTCTTGTTGCATCTCTGCCCAAGAAGTTATCGAAAAAGGCCTCAAATTATTAAACCAGTATTTTGCTTTATCTTTAAGGGTGAAAGGAAAGAGTTTAAGTCTCAAAACCTCTTTCGGCATGTCTGTGTATTTCACGGTGGAACACACTTTAAGAAACTCATCCAAATGCTTGTAAGGTTCTTCACTTGGTAGCCCGTGGTAATTGGGAAGCATTTGAATTTTTTGTGGTTTAATCTCATAATGGTATGCTCTAAATGGAGGTAATTGAATGCATGTTGGTGCATTATACTCATTTGGCACATAGTGATCTCTTAAAGCAAGAGCAGGATTCATAATTGGTGGCTCGACACGAGCACCATGATTTACTTAAACAACGGGAGGTGGGGGTGGAACAAAAATTGGCCGAGGCATTCCCAATGGAACTTGGCCTTGTTGTTGTGGAATGAAAGGTCTTGACATTCCTAATGGTACTTGAATATTGTCATGATGCACATTAGGGTAAAGAATACCTTGTTGGTTGATGTGACCAAGGTCATCCACATGGTCCTTAATTTGTTTCTCCATTAATGAAATAGAGTTACTAGAATTACACCTTCCCCTAGGATTATGAACAACTGATTTAAGATGAAAATTGAGTGGGACAAGAGTAGGATTTAATAACCTACGACCATGCATGCACAATCAAAACAACAACTAGCAACAAGCAAGTACCAATCACTTCTCCTCCGCAACAAATCGATCAACAAACCTCCACATACATTGTTCCCATACTCCCATGCTTTCAACAATATGCAAGAAAAATAAAATGCCTTCACGCGGGCTCACGATTTATCTAAAAAATTAAAACTTGCCTCCACGCGGGCTCACGATTTAACTAGAGAGAGAGAGTTAGAAAAGCTCACAAAGGGTCCTTAAGCAACTTTAAATTGTTTTTTAATTTTTTCTTTGCCTTATTTTGCTTTGCAAATTTTTTTATTTTTAGTTTTTTTTTTATGTTTTTGCTTAGCTTGCTTCTTTGCTTAGAATTCTTTTGTTTCACTTCTCTTGGCTCAATGCACCTAGCTAATCAACAACAAAACACAATAAGTAACCAAAATAAAATAAAATAAAGACACGATCAAAAGAGTACTAATTCCTAATTGGTTCTAAAATACGGCGTTGCCTATCCCTGGCAACGGCGCCAAAACTTGGTGTGTTGCTCGAACCGAGTTGCACTATAAAGTGTAGTGTGTCCAAATTTGAATTTATAGAATGCTATTACTACTACTAACTATTAACCTAGTTAGAGTGAGTAGGGATCGTCCCAAGGGAAAAAAGTCGTGTTTTGGAATCAATTGTTGGATTAGTAGGTCGAATGATCAAAAGATGGTTTGATTCGATTAAACTAAGATTCAATTAAAACAATGCAAGAGAGCAACAATCTAGAAATTAGAGGGAAAATAAATGAGAGAGGGGTCTTGGGGCTTATAGTTCACCACTAAGCTTTACTTTACCAAGCACTAGCAATTGTAAATTAATGGGGAAATTCAACTTGTAAAATGGGTGTGTGTGTCACTAATTGAAAACTAAGCATGGATGGCAGATAAGCATAAATTGTCTAGTCAATCTAGTGAATAGCACAACCTATCAAATGAGACCTATAACCATTCAATTAAAACACAATTAGAACACACACAAAAATCTAGAGAAATGTACTCTTTGCACTCATGAGTATGGAACATCAAACAAAAAGAATGGATTGTCCACTTATCTAAGAAATTAAAACAATTACACTACATCTAGGCTAGAGACATGAAAATTAAACTAATCAAACTAAAGGTGTGGCACAATCCATCAAGAAACAAATGTGAACCATCAAATAAACCACAAGAGTATTCAATTACGCACTATGCTTTGACCATCACTAGATTAACAATATCAATACACACATAGACATGTATTAATTTTATTAAATCTAGAGTAAAATACATGAACATTCATTCTAGCATACATAGACATATGGATAGAAATAAATGATCAATTGAAAGGATTAATCCATACAAATCAAGTAAAAATCACAAGATTTATATTTATTCAAGGTCAAAACATTTATTACAACTAAAATCCCCAAAAATGTACAAAAGACTAGGTCTAGGAAGCAAACTTAGGGGTTATCTCTAGCCCAAAGTGAATGATTTAGCCACTCATTGTAGTGCTCATGGAACCCTCAAGAGTTAGTTTGGAGGTTGACATCATCATCTTCATGCTTACTTTTCTTCCCAAAACCTTAGTTCTAGAGAGGAAACTATTTCTATATTGATAAAAAATCTATCTCTATCAATGATACAAGATAATGTTCAATTAATTCATTACATGCTTTTTTGAGTAGGCACCAAGTCAGAAATACAGCCTATGATTGGAGAAAATTCGCAGCTACTCGAGTTAGGTGAAGATTGGCGCACTCGAGAATTAGACAGCACACTGCCAGTACGCATTTCGATCGATCGAAGATGACGTGGCATCAAAATATCTTCTGGGCCTTATCCACTTTGCTGAGCTGGCACCGCCTTGACTTCGATCGATTGGTATTCCCTTCGATCGATCGAAGTTCCTCTGGTGCAATTTTCTTGGCTTCATTCCAACTTTGCTCCTTAGCTCCAAAATTGGGCTAAATGACTCTTGTTAGCCTGTTTGAACTTTATTAACCTGAAATAGGCAATAACGCAAATAAGTACTTAAGATATGAAATTAAGATAGATGAATGAATTAAAATACCCTAACTTAGGTGTTAAAATGCGTCACATTTGAGCACTTATCAATTTGCTAATAAGTTAGAGATCCATTTTATTTTATGCCATTGTCAAGATATGACTATGTGATGTGTGCTGTGTGGGTGAGCTGGCTAATAAGTTTGGACTCACTTTATGTCATGTCATTGTCAGGATATGATTATGACATTCCATTGTCAAGATATGGCTATGATGTGTTATGTTTGTTATGCTATTGTAAGGATATAGCTATGTTATCTCTCATGTATGTATGTCATTGTTGGGATATGGCTATATACTATATTTATATGTGTGCCCTGATACGAGCTTGAGGTCTCAGGATCAATGGTTAGGACTGAGACGTTTATTGCTGGTTGAGATGGGTAGCTCGTATTGATGATTTGTCAGCCCCGGTAGTAGATGGGACACTAGACCACTTTGTGTGTATTGTTGAGTGATACCCGCTATCAGTTTGAGGCTGCCCTATACAGAGTGAGAGTCTTTAGTGTATATAAATGTCTATCGACTATGTAGATATTGCATGAGTTGGTTAATGATGTATTGTTTATCGGTTCTCTGATTGGGTCATTGTAGATGGACTTGTTCTTGGGTTTTGACCTATCTTTGTTATATTTTTCAGGTGCGTATAAGTTCCAGTCCTAGATGTTATTCATGCTGATAAGAGAGTATTCATCTTCATTCTTCTGGAGTCATTGACGTATGATATTATCCTTGTATAGTTTATTTAATAGACTTGATATATTTGTATTTCAGATATGACATTTTGATTAGAGGTCCATGAGACGAATTCTCGAGTTATATTTTGGAGATTATTGGTATCAGAGATTTATTATTTAGAAAAAATCTATTATTATTTTATTTTATTTTATTATTATTTTTTTTTTCACATAAATTTCCCTACTAGCCTTGTACATCAACTCACCCTTGAAAGCTCTAGATTTCGCAGTGACCCGCTCCCTGAGATATTTGAATGCTTCCACTTTATATCTAGGCATAATAGTAGGCAAACCTAGGTACACATTTTTCCAGTCTTCTAAAATAATCGCCAAAACATTTCTGATCTGACCCTGTGAAGCACCACTGGAATTTCGGCTGAATAGTAAGCATGACTTATCGTAATTCACCAACTGACCACTCAAGGCTTCATAATGGTTTAATATCTCTTTTATCTGGTTGACTTCAGATGTAGTAGCTTTCCACAAAGAACGGCATCATTTGCAAAAAAGAATGTGAGTAATCGGAGGAGAATATCTGCTAATTTTGATCCCTTTAATTAGCCTATGTTGTTGAGCTCTTTTCAACATCAAAGTAAGACCTTCAGTACACAATAAAAACATATACGATGAAATTTCAGCCTCGCCATTAATAATAATGGAATATGTCACTGTTCTAATACATTCCATCATAATTCACACCCATTTGATCCCAAACCCCATCCTAATCATGATTTCTTCTAAGAATGACCATTCCGCCCTATCATAGGTTTTGGCCATATCCAATTTCAATGCAATATAATTTGTTTGGGTATCTTTTTGAGAGTTAAGGTAATTGATGATTTCCTTTTAGAATGTTCTCAATGTATTTATTCTCTTATCTATCCCAACTCTAAAGCACTAACACGGTAATGAGTAAGAATGTCAATAGGATGGGTTCGGGATGAGACACTATTTTTTAAAACCCGTTCCACCAATTTTTTTTTTTTTTTTCCCAACCGCAATTTCAGACTCCCCACATCAAAGTTTGGCGTAGGTTTGAGGCGCCCCAATATGCATATTTTTTAAGAAAAATAATTTAAACTTGAATTAATTTAAGATAAATTTTATAATGTTTTTGTAAATAGTCAAATATTTAACAATCATAATAACTAAAATGTTGTTAAAATTTAAATTATTATAGGAAAAAAAGAAAAAATTATAGCTAATAAAAGAATATTTATTTATATATAAATTATTAATCGGGGCAAGTTCGGGGTTTTGTAGATTTTAAATTCTCTTTTCAAAAATGCCCCTAATTTGATTAGGGTGACTCCAAATTCATCCCAATAGGGATATAGCAAGTTAATAATGAGTGGTTGATATATGTTGAACTTAGCTTGTTTAAGACAACATGGTTATATAAATTGTATCTAATCATTCATGGGCTTGCAATACCAATATTTGTTTGCTTTCATTTTTTTTCCCCCTAAAAACACAAAATCTTACTCTGTATTAATGAAAATCGGATAACTAAAAGTTTGTGGCACAATTCTTTTACAACCTCATTAATCAAACAATGAGGGGGGAAAGTCATCAAAACAAAATAGCTCAAGCTTCTTTATGGAGGTATATTTACTCAAAACGATAGCAACAATTTGCAGCTTGTATTTTTGGTAAAATAATGTTTAATAAAATTTTCATAAAAAACTGAAATTATACTAATGCTAATGAAGAACAAAATAAAATTATATTTCAGTTTTATTAGTATGGTTTGGTAAGTCAATACCAACGCATTTTTATCAAATGAGCAATAACCCAGCTGGTATAAACCAACCTCCCTGAAGGCGAAGGAGAGGTTGGGGGTTGGAAAAAAAAAACACTAAGACATTCTTTCTGACAGGTTACATACTCAAAACAGACCATCACTCCACAACCAAATAACATCATGATCATCTATTTCATAAATGTTGTTGTTCAAAGGAGAATTGGAATCGCTTACCGGATAAGTGTGGGTTCTACACAAACCTAATTGATGTAATAATTTCCTATTTTGGGTGTCTTCTAATTAGAAGCAAAAATTGAAATTCAGTAGAGTACTAACATGGAAAATTACTCGGACAAGTTCTGTGTACCAGGTTTGGAAACAATATAATTTCAGAAATAGATCCTCTCGTTTCATTAAGGATGCTCAAGCTGATCATCGTGGGTACCCATATGATAAAACCATTGCAACCGAGTGGAATTTACCATCATCCTTCTTTGAGCCAAACCAAACAAACCCCTTCTTCACCATATTCTAGTTTGCCCGTGCTCTGTTTTATTGGCTTGAATGTTTGAAATTGATGTTCCCCCATTACTAACTAAGTTGGAGTTTAATTCTGATATGTGGGCTAGATTGGGCCATATGATTGGACCCATTTTTTGATTCTCCTTTTATGATCCTTCTTTTGCATTTTTTGGATTGGACTGTTGCCCTTTCGGCCTCGGGGTATACCACAAGTTTTTAAATACCCTTTATTTGGGCTCCTAGTGGTTGTAAGTTTCCCATCAGATTTGTCAATGGGCTCTTCATTATCATCTTTTTGATGTTAAATGAGACGTGTGGCCTTCTTGGCTTCGCCTTCTCATTGAGGACTTCTCTGGTTCTGTTTAATCTTTTTCTTATTTTGTAAAAAAGTTAAAAAAGAATGAATGTTTTGCTTGTGGATATGCAAGAAAATCAGTCACGTAAGATAATTATTCTATATAATTAGAGTAATGATAAAGGAATTGAAAAGAAATATTCGAATTAATATCGAATTTGACATGATTGGTTATATTTATCATGGGTTAAATAATTATTTTTTAAAAACTGTTTAAATAGATAAAATGAAATAAAACAAGTCAGATTCAAAATTTATTTGAAAAAATCATTCAGTGACTTTATCATTTTCTATATAATTATTATATATATATATATATATATATTTATATATGTTTTCTCTTTTGACTAAATATTAAATTGCTACAAATATAATTACCAAGAAAGTTTTTTCCTCTTTTTTTAACAAGTCTTACTATATTTATATTGAAAATACGACATTCATATAACTTATTGTATCTATAACTTATTGTATCTATAACTTATTAAGCACGTTCTCAATCTTTCAGAATGGATTATATGTATTACTAAAGAATTGAATATACACAGATAATCTTCAAGTTCTACATTCCCAAAAAAAAAAAGAAAAAATTACAACTATCACTAAATTGAAAATTTATTATTGTGTTGTAAAATTACGGTATAAATTTGTTGCATCAATTAAAATAGTTTCAACCGCCCATTTGAAGTTTGTTTAGTTGTCAATTTGAACCCTCTTCTGAATATATTGAATAAAAGGACTGACGAAGGTCAGTCGAAGGTCAGTCAGGCCGTCAGAAGAGAAAAAATGTCAACCGTGGGTAGCTTAGACAGTGTTGTTGCTTTACCTACCCTTTCCCATTTCCCCTAATCACAATTGAAACCCTAATCTTCTATTCTTCTCCAACAATTCGATTCACAGCTCTCTCTCCTTCTTTCTCTCTGAAATGGAGAATTCAACCCAGGAGTCCCAACTCAGATCCGAAAACTCCGTCACCTATGAGTCACCATACCCCATCTACGCCATGTCCTTCTCTTCCTCCACCCGACCACCCCACCACCACCGCATCGCCATCGGCAGCTTCATCGAAGAGTACAACAACCGCGTCGACATCCTCTCATTCGACGAAGAAACCCTAACCCTAAAAAACAACCCTAACCTCTCCTTCGAACACCCTTACCCTCCCACCAAGCTCATGTTCCACCCCAACCCTAATTCCTCTCTCCGCAAGTCCTCCTCCGACCTCCTCGCCTCCTCCGGCGACTATCTCCGCCTCTGGGAAGTCCGAGACAACTCCGTCGAGTCGCTCTCCGTACTCAACAACAGCAAGACCAGTGAATTCTGCGCTCCGTTGACCTCCTTCGACTGGAACGAGGTCGAGCCTCGGAGAATCGGGACGTCGAGCATCGACACCACGTGCACGATTTGGGATGTTGAGAGAGGGGTTGTGGAGACTCAGCTGATTGCTCACGATAAGGAGGTTTACGACATTGCTTGGGGTGAAGCTGGGGTTTTTGCCTCTGTTTCCGCGGATGGGTCGGTGAGGATTTTCGATTTGAGAGACAAAGAACACTCCACCATTATATATGAGAGTCCCCAACCGGACACTCCGTTGCTTAGGTTGGCTTGGAACAAGCAGGACTTGAGGTACATGGCCACCATTTTGATGGATAGTAATAAGGTTGTGATTTTGGACATTAGGTCTCCCACGATGCCGGTGGCGGAGTTGGAGAGGCACAGGGCGAGTGTGAATGCCATTTCTTGGGCTCCGCAGAGTCCTAGGCATATTTGTTCAGCAGGGGATGATACACAGGCGCTCATTTGGGAGTTGCCCACGATTGCTGGACCCAATGGGATTGATCCGATGTCGATGTACTCAGCTGGCTCTGAAATTAACCAGCTACAGTGGTCGGCAACTCAGGCTGAATGGATTGCAATTGCATTTTCCAACAAAATGCAGCTTTTGAAAGTTTGAGGTATGAGAACAAGTACAATTTGCAACTTAAGATATAATCTGAATAATATAGATATCAATTGCAGATATGTCTAAATATTACCCAATAAGATGCTTGGCATGTCTCTTTCTTTTTCTATTCAGTGGTAAATATTTCCTGTTTAATGCTGTGGATTTAAGCTAATTTAAGAAGTATTTGCTTCAAATATAATGAATAACCACCGGTTAGTAGCATGAGCAATATCTCTTGCCCCCTACAAAACATGGCTGGCTAAACTCGTAGTTCACTGAAGCCTTTGCCTAGAGCCTCGTGTAAAGGATAATTGTAGGTTTATTTGTTCCATAGGGAAATGACATTGACACTCAACTTTAGTATTCTTATATGCATTCCATTTAAAATAGTTAAAGGACACAATTGTCCTTCAAAAGAAATTTCACACTCCACAATTATCCCAAGAAATACTTTTGCAGTCTATTTTTGAAGGCTAATTGTGTCTTCTTCGTTCACAATCAAATGAAGTGCTTGCGTAAAAATAATTAAATAAATAGTACCAATATCATACTTATCAAAAAAAAAAAAAATAGTACCAATATCATAACCCATTACTATAATATGGATTTTCTCCAATTTTCATTCTTATATGGGTTCATATCAAGAGTACTACAAAAGTGGAATGTCAATATTATTTCCTTTAATATATTAACAGTAGAAAAGGCCTCAATTCTTTTATTTCTGCCTTGGGCCTTAGCTTATGGCGTGCTCCGTAAGTGGAGATGCAGGGTTAAAGTGCTAGTTGGGACACGTGCAGTACTTATAAAATATATTATATTGTTTAAATTAAGTTTCTCATCAAAAGAAAATCAAATGTATAATTTTTTTCTCAATCAAATTAAGTGCTTGTTTTGATTAGAAATTGGGTAGATTCTAGAGGTTTTTAGTTCTCATTTATGTGACCTGGACCAGGGTACTTGTGTTGAGTACATGTATGTATCCACGTGTTGAATGTCAAATCTTTCAATAGAAGGACACATGGACACTGCTAAATATTCATACTATTTAATATTTTTATTTTATATTTTAGAATAGAGTAATATGCTTATGTAACATAGTGTCTAATATTAGTATTTCACTCGTTTTGAATCAATAATATAATAAAATTGAATTATTGGATGTGTTTTTTTTGGTGCATGTCCAACCAAAAGTGTCGGACATATATCCCATAACCATGCCCAAGTATTGTGTGTTTGATACAAGTACATCACCTACTTTTGAAGAGTCCATATAACATAGGTTCTCATCTCTAAACCAAGTTACACATAGTGGAAAGATCATTAACCTCTTGTTTTTCTTTTAATTGTTTATTATTTTCATTTCCTAAGATTGAATAAGGTGCAGCAACTTAGTATGAATACTAGTTTAGTCTGAGAAAAAAGATATCTGTTTTGTGTCTTCATGTTGCAACACTGTTGAGATTTCATCTCTTGAGCACGTCAACTGACCTTGTAAAAGATGAAAAAGTTGAAAGTTTATGACATAGCTAATGTTTAGTCTTTAATGTTAATGTTAAACACAATCTTCCATGTAATGTAAAATTATGATGGATCAAATAGCTTGTTAGGGATAAATTATTATGTTATATAACATTATGATGGATCAACATAGTTATGCATCTGAGGTTCTTTTAATTCCTGATTCATTTTTTAGGAGTATTTTAGCTCCTATTCATGACAGACTTTAAAAAAAAAAAAAATATATTTGTTTCTAACGAGTATTTTCACTCTTTATGTGAATGTGTCATTATTTTTGGTACTTCTTTTGGGTTCAAGTGGGGGCTTGCACTTGTTTCACAAAGAGATCATATTGAGTCATACTTCTCCGAGACAAGAGTCGGAGAAGTATGGAAGGACCAAGCCATAGTCATGCAACATCTATAGTTTGTTAGCAATCTTCATGATGATTTCCCGACAATAGATGTGTTTCAAGATGCAGCTCCAGTCCTTGGCCAGCAAATCTCTCAAGCCTCGATGATGTGACAATTAGGTTGCATCTCTGATGACTAGTTGTGGAGGGAAAAAAACTCTCTCCAATAAGAAGCGTACACGTCATCACTACACATATCTACATTCCAAGGACATATAAGGCCCATCATGCTCAAGCCCAAATTGAGTGTATTTTTAGTCCAAGACCATTGTTATTTGTCTTCCAACTTCCATCAAGGCCGAATCAAGAGGTCATCAGCCCAACTTGTTAATATTTAACATCCGGTCCGTTACTCAAGCCCAGCCGGATCAAAGTATGTTCAGCCTAGTTATTCAAGAATGCACAAGTCCTACCAGTTGAAGGATTTACCGTAGAAGGAAAATTCTGAGATAGGAAGTTCTGTACAAGGCAAGTTCTATGTATGGAAAATTAGACAATGGAAAGAACTCTATTAGTAAAGAATGTTTATATAGAAAGAATTGGAGGACAAGCAACGCGAGTCCTACCATAATTTTACAATCTTTTGTATTAGACTTCCAACAAAGGGATCAAGCAATTCTACGCTTCGACATATATTGTTCTTGTTTATTTTTACTATTGATTGAGTGAGTTGTTTTATTTTTCTTAATCATTATTGGTTGAGCGAAATTCTGCACCTACACTTTGGCGCCGTCTGTGGGAATCGTATAAAAATATACTCCCACTTGTTCTTCAAATCAAATCCTTAGTCGTATCTGGAATGTCAAACGGAGAGTCAGCAATGAATCAACAGATAGAATTGATGCAAAAGATGCGAGAGGAGTTCTTGCACCAATTTGAGACACTCCGGCAAGCAAACGATACGAGTGTTGCCCAGATAGCTGCGCTTCAGTAGCAAACTCATACGCTGCACACGGTAATGGCCAGGCTAACGCCACAACCACCACCAGGCGATGCTGCAGCACCACCCCCCACCCAGAATTTACCTCCAGTTCACGAGCCTCCGGCCAACGGGACACCACCCAACGGGGCTCGACCTAATGAGGTTCAGCAACAGCAAGGGACAAGGTCCGAGGCGGTTGCTTCGGATAATCTCCCGCGTCGCACACAGGACGAACAAGCCGAGTCCAGCCATAGGCTTACGGTATGGTCCAATGGCGTTCCAGATGGCGCATGCGTACAAGATGCCTTCGACAAAAAGAAGCTATTAAGAGTTCAGACACCAGCCGAGATGGCTAGAGAGCACAAGAACTCCTTGGTCAAGACCCCCTTTACTGACGATGTGTACCTTGTGGAGAGACCAAGGAAGTTCACTATGCCATCCTTCACCCAGTTCGATGGGGCAGGAGACCCCTCTCGGGATCTCGATCATTATGCGCAAAAGATGGCACTGGACGATCATAACGATCCGTGGATGTGTAAGGTTTTTCCTACCAGTTTAACCGGAGCAGCGTTAGAATGGTTCAGGAATAGGCCACACAAGTCTATCCCTGATTATGAGACCTTGTGCACTATGTTCTTAGCCTAGTATTGCGGAAATAAGAAGCAGAAGAAAAGTATCGCCAGCCTTTTCACCATAAGGCAAAGGAAGGGAGAAACTCTGCAAGATTTCTTATCCAGGTTTAACATGGAAGCCTCGGAAATAGCAGATTGCCACCCTGCCACGGCAATCGAAACATTTAAGTTGGCAATGATCCAGGGAACCAAGTTTCACACATCCTTGATCAAATATTCCCCCCCGGATATGCAGACTTTGAACGCTAGGGCACAAATCTACATTCGGTTGGAGGAAAACGTAGCCCACCGTGCACAGCACGCTACCCTCGTCACGGTGGAAAACAAGTCTCGAGAGAAAGCTGCAAGCACAAGGATGCAGAAGGTTCCTCATGCCGCCACACAAGTCACCCAAGCGCCTGAGAAGAGGCAAAGGACAGAGGACAAGCTTACCCCTCTCCGTACTACCTTAGCGCGCCTATTCCAAGAGAATAAGACGAGGTTCGCAACTCCTCAGCCCATGAAACAACCCTCGAAGCAGAGGGACAAAAGCAAACATTGTGCCTACCATAGAGACTATGGGCATACCACCAATGACTGCAGGTCCCTTCAGCGACAGGTAGAAAGCATGATAGCGAGAGGAGAGTTGATGGAGTATCTCGCCACGAAGGAGTACGTAAAACCTCGGGAGGTTAACCCTCGACGGGTAGAGGGCGGTCAGGTAAAGGTTATCCATGCCATACACGGAAGGTCAGAGGATGATGAAGAGTCTGAAGAGTTGTACAGATCTAGGCTGAGAGAGGCTCATAAGTTACGAAGATTGTCTTCGGTAAACACGGTTGCACCAGGCAGCATCAACATTGGATTCGGTAACAATGATCTGTCTAGAGTCCAGCGCCCGCATGAGGACCCCTTGGTCATTAGCCTCCTAGTAGCGAATTATATGATCAGGAGGGTGCTGATAGATCCGGGAAGTAGCGCCAACATCATTACAAAAGCAGCTTTCGATCAGCTGGGGGATTCACCATCGTCCATCAGGCCAACTTCCAGCCTCCTAATGGGGTTTGATGGTACTAAGGTGAATCCGCTTGGGGTGATCGATCTATCCGTTACTGCAGCAAAGAGGACTCTGAAGGAGAACTTTGTCGTGACGGAGATTCATCCATCTTATAACCTCATTATGGGGAGAGGTTGGAGCCATCGTATGAACGGAGTCCCCTCTACCCTTCATCAAGTAATGAGGTGTTTATCCCCAGATGGCAGGGAGGTCATCGACCTCTGGGGAGACCAGGTTGCTGCAAAAGAATGTTACATGCTAACGCTATATGAAGCAAAGAAGGCGTCGAAATCACCTCAGTCAGAGGCGAATCCCAAAGACGCAATCAAATAGCAGTTACAGTATCCTCTGCCCAAGTATCTCAAGGCAGTGGAAGAAGCCGAGGCTGAAGCACCTACCGAGGAGTCCCTCGAAGCTATAGAGGTAGTCCTCGGAGACCCTCAGAAGGTCACCTACATTGGCTCATCTTGCACAGCCGAAGAGAAGGAAGCATTGATCAGGGTCATTCGGT